ATAAATTATATATTAAAATGTCAATTGAAATGATTAGTGTGATTTTTTCACCAAAAAAATATAAACTAAATTAAATTTTCTTTTGTTTCTATTTGAAAACATATTTTTATTTAAATTCGGTTTGTCATGATTTTGTTTATTACATTTTTCATCAATAAGATTAAATTGGTAATCACTAATATATTTTTTCAATTTTACTGTTATGTACTTGAGTATATGTTAAATTGTTAAATTGTAGCAAATTTTTGTTATACATATTTTACACTAATACCCAGGATTACTTATGCTTATCAATTTACGGGCACATGTGAAAGAATATAATCAGACTGATTGTTAACATTGGAAACATTGTCAATCCATAGTTCATTCTATAATTTAACAAATATATTTCTGGAAAAAACATTTAAAAATAGTTTGATGCAGATTACTTTTATGTATATTATTATGGCGCAAATTACCTAAGCATTTTATATTACAGGTCATTTTATGTGCATTATTACAACTGTCAGTAAACAAAGAAACAGGTCAGTTATTACAAACATTGAGAACACAATAGAAACACGTTCCCTTACTTACTGAACACCTATATACGCACTATTACAGAACACTCAACCTTTCTTTCTCCAGTTATTTAGGATTGCCTTAAGTTTAAAGGAAAAATAGGCACGTTATTCAGACTAGTTTTTTAGTGAATGCATCGTATGGAGGTGTCTGGGGTAATAACATACATCTCATAACTGAGCCATCATAATAATAAATGTGTATTTTTAATGTAACACAATAAATGATTAAAAAAATCTTCCAACCCTTATTTGAAATATAAAATATTTTTCATTTGTTATGACTTAATTTTATTAGTTGACATTAACCCGTCGTTACTCGCGCGTATGATCTAAACACCGTTACTCGCGCGTAGAGCGATTCGCTCACCAGGTATATTTTATCATAAGGTACTATGATATCATATAGTACCTTTTTTTTTATAAGGTACTATGAATTTGAGGAAAGTACAACTACGAGCAAGCCAGTGGTTCTCATTTTAAAAACAATTTGAGGGAAATTCTCACATGCGAGCAATGAAGTGTTAAGTGTATCCGTACTCCGTCGACCAATTTTCTTAAAAACAGAAGTTAAAATATTTTATAGAAATGTAGTCTACTTTAGATGGTTGAATTTAGATTTAAATTTTACTCAAACGACACTAGCGTTCTTACTTATAATGAGTTTATTATTTACAATACTTAAATGTGTTTTAATACGCATGCACATTGTCATTTATTAGGCTTAAAATTTTTAACATTTTGTTGGTTTTATTCCATTAAGTAATAAATAATTATTTCACACAGTTTGTCTCCATAATTAAGAGAATAGCATTAGACCTTAAAATATTTTACACGACTCTTACTACTTTAGTATTAAATAGTCTTGAGTTGCTACTTTCTATGGAATTGACTAATTTTATATATTGTTTTCTTAATAACAATTATCAGTTTCACTATTTGAAAATTATTAGAGGTAATTATACAAGTGTTCAATAAGTAAGGAAATTGGTAAATTCTTATAAATAATGAGAACAATAAAAATACATTTCCTTGTTTACTGAACACCTGTATAACTCGAGTGAGTGTTTAAATTTCTAAATATTTTAATATCTACCTAAAATAGCATGTATTTCAATGCCAGAAACGTAATTAAAGACAAACGAGAGGGACAGTTCCCCAAAAAACAAAAATTGTAGATGATACAATTTCGTATGTAGTAGGTAGTAAAAAATGTTCTTATAAATATATCCTTTAGAACAATACTTTAATTACGATACTGTTAACTGATAATACAATTTCAGTAACTATGCTTATGTCCCGAAAAGTATTTTAGAATAACACAATGGAAAGCAAACTTACAATAAATAAAAAATGTTATCTCAATGTACCGATAACTTAGATGAATATTTAACTATCAATGTTGTAATCACAATGAATGTAACTACAACAATTTTGTCAACTTTGCTGATAAATCCTGTTGAAACATTACTTAATAATCCATCTCACAATACTTACGCTTACAGTTTACTATAAAGTCGCAGTTTGTTCAATTTTTTTTGTGTTCCAAATGCACACAACAATTTTAATTAAAATTTTACTTTTACAGTTTTGAAAAATTATACCCTCAAAATGTACTGAAACCAATGTCGTCAAGGTGTTACGAAAATACTATTACAAGAAAAATAATATTACATCCCAACATCCCTTGTCCTGGCACCCCTCACTTAATCTCATCGAAATTCACAACAACAATAGCATACCAACATACTCACCTAACCTTAAAACTACTACTACATTTTTTAAAGAATTGATATAACTGACTATAACCTATTTTCCATAAAAGTCTTTTTATTATCCAAATATCATTTAACCTCAACACATTATTTAAAAATCGCTTGTATAATTAAGAAATTTAAATTTTCGTTAAATGAGCGCTATACTCTTTCCCGTATAAAAAGTATATAAGATGAATTTTCCACTAAATACTTATTTCTAATAGTATGGATTGGATTTTTATTTGGGATAAGGCTAACGACATTTTGTTTGTTTTGTCGCTTATCACATAGTCTTAATC